AAGAGGGAAATAACTGTGATAAAAATCAATGAGAAAAAAGAAGAAACAGGTAAGAGGCTGGTTAATGATTGTTGTTTCCAGGGCCACCTGCCCTCAGCAGAGCGGTGGGATGAGGGAAATTCCCTTCAGCTAAGGCATGGTTTTGTAGAGAGATGTGTCTGCCTCTGTAATTCATGGGAAATTTGGCAGTTCACAGCCAACCACAGACTAGAGGAAAGTTCAGTTCTTTGTAGTCAGGGAAGCACACGTTGGAAGAGGATCCTTTTTGCTTTCTGAAGTGGTTTGTGGGATGGAGAACTGTGAATCCTTGGGGGAGGAGCAACTAAAGCAGGGTCTTCTCAGGTACCTGTGCATGGAGCCTTGATGCTCTGAGCTCTTCAGCTGAGGAGGTGATGACTGAAGGGTCTCTCTGCCAGCTAAAGGCACATGGGCTGACAAAAGGGCCTGGGCAGGTGGGGTGGGGCTTTCTGCCTGTGACTGTGGGCTGGGGCAGCTGAGAATTTCCACAGAATCTGTCTCTGCACAAGAAAGAGCTCTTACTTAAACACCAGCTTCAAGTTTTGGAGAAATGAAGGCATTTTTCTAGGCTTTGTGCCAGAGTATCAAGAACTTTAAAAGCTGGGATTTTCAAAAAGCATGAGACCTTTACAGGACCCTCGTACAGCTGGGTGCCAGTGGCTGTGTGCACAGTCCCACCAGTGCTGCTGCTGGGAAGTGCTGTGGCAGTCAAAGTCTTCCTGGCCTCTTGAAAAGCAGCTCATTTTCTCCATCCTGAGCAATCTGGATTTAAGCCATACCTGTGAAAGGGCCTTGCCCACACACACTGTTCTCTGTAACAATCCCTTAAGTCTGTTGCCAGGTTTCACGTGTTACTGCTGGACACAGGTAAAGCCCTCAATGTCTGTGTTTCAGGAGGTCCCTGTGCTGTTCCTCCTTTTGGGCTGTGCCCTGGCTGATGCCAGTTGCTCTGGAGTTCCTGCTGGGTTTGCTATTCCCTGTTCCACCCTTCTGGATGCTCTGTGACAGAGAGAGGGGTGACTCCATGCTGTGGGAGAGGGGCAGCAGTGAAAGTGTTAAGATTGGGCGGGCAGAGCTGGAAGCTGCTCCAGCTCTGGAATTTGGAGGACTGGAATTGCTGCCTTGGCAGCAGCCCAGCTGGCAGAGAGCTCCAGTCCCAGCCAGGCAGGGCAGAGCTAACACAGAGCTCGTCCTCTGCCACCGTGCCAGGGCTGGTGGGAGCTGGGTGAGGACACTGGGGACACTGGTGACACTCTGTGTGAGCTCTCAGACCCTGCTCCCTCTGCCTGGGCTCAGCTGCTGCTTCCTCTGCTTGCAGAGCAAGCAAATGTGAATAGTTTTAGAGAGTTACCCTGGGGATGGGCTGGGAGCTCCATCCAGCCTGGACTCACAGCTCTGTGTCACCCCAGGACCAGCAGTGGCTGCTGCAGTGGCTCCAGGGGGTTACAAGATGCTGACCCTGGACAGAAAGTTCATGAAGTTCTTTGTTTCTCACCACCATGTGATTTGTTGTTTAATTGCTTCGGCTCCTCAAAGGAAGATGATGATGATCAGCTGCTAGGTTTCCTGCCCAGGGGCAAAGGTAATGTGTGTTTTATTATTTTCTTTTGGATATTGCCTGGTTCCTCCTCCTTCTTCCATAGTGGTGGGAAGAGGAGCCTCGTCAGGAGTAGTTGGCAGGGTAACACTCAGGTGAGCTCCTGTGCATTCCTGGGATGGAAAATACTAATTACTGTTTCCTCAGGACTGAGCTGGGATGCAGAGCTCCCACATTAAGCTGGGTAACATTGCTTTGCACTGGCATGGCTGCTTTGGGGACCACACAGGTAGAGCTGATGCACCAACAGCAGGAGTTCAGGTTTTTATCCATGAATGTAATGCACAAGCAGCCCTGGAACCTGGGTGGTGCTGCCTCTGAGGCTGCTGTTGGAAGATCCCAAGAAAAATCTCTTGAGCTGTTTGGAGCACAGAGCCAAGGCTCTCAGTAGTGACCCTGGCTCGGCTTGGATGTGTGTCCTGGAATGAATGGTTTGGAGGTTTGCTGGCTTGGATAAGGGAGCCCAGCACTGCAGGACTTTTTCCTGGGTGCTGACAGTGCCTGTGGCTCAGTGGGAACCATGGCATGTCAGGGACCTGGAGTTACTGAGTGATGTCTTGAGGCTGGCAAGAGCCTCTGAGAAGAGGAGCTGACCTGGGAAAAGCAGCTTTCTCTGGTCTCCAGCCTGTCCTTACTCTCAGTGTCTAGACCTTCCCCTCAACTTGACTTTTCCTCATGATTTATTTTGAAATATTTCACACCCCAGAGAATCTGGGTTTTGCTCAGGATGTTTCCTTCCCTTTTCTACCATGCTTCCTGGCCAAAATCAGAGTTTCAATATCTCAGGGTGTTACTGAGTCTTGGCAGGAGGTTTCAGCAGGACCCTCTCTTTGGTCCTGCCTGCCCTGGAAGGGTAGATCATGAGACTTTCTCACCTCTCATCCCCTCATCAGGTCACTCATGGATGAGCACTGTGGATCCTGGTGTACATCCCTGTATTCCCCACATCGATATCTCTCCTCTGCAAGGATGATTCTTTGCCCCAACCTCTTGTAATCCTTGATTTATCCCTTTAGAATCCTTTCTTCTTATCCCAAAGCTCTGGAGGTGTTGTAAAAACCTTTGGTGAGGATCTTGGAGGCAGATGAGGCTGTGCCACATCCTTCCACGTGTTCTCTGGCCAGTCCAGACCCTGCAGGTTTCTGTTGCAGGAGCTGGACTGACACTGCCCAAGTGGCTCAGACTGCCTGTGCCTTACAGGGCTGTGTGGGTGAGTGAAGCCTCTGTTTTGTTTTGGAAAATGTTTCAGTAGATGCACCTTGTGCTTGGGTAGACTTTTGTGTTTAGCAATGTCTGTGTGAATAGGGCAGAGTGAGATGTGCCAAGGGCAGCCTTGGAGATGGACAGGTCTCTTAAACACCTGAATTCTGGTGTTTAATTGTGTAAGCAGATTCTGTAGGTCCACAATAGCGTTTTTGTCTTTGGCTCCAGTAGCACTGACTGCAGTCTCCAGGTCTTTTCCATGTCTCCATGTGTGGTTACAATCACAGATGAGACACTTGGGCTGTTCTGCAGCTCGGTTCCTGCTCTGGCACTTGAGGCAAGTCACTGAAGCTCAGGCTGTCGTGTGCTGCCACCTCTGAGACACAGAGCAAGGTGCTGGGAACACCTGCCAAGGTTTGCAGGATCCCTGCTGAGCTGCTTCAGAGAGCACTGGCTGTAAGTGCCACTGTGGTTTAGGGCACATGGGAATGCTGCTGTGAGACTGAAAATGTGACACTCCTGCAAATAGCAAACAGCAGTCGCTGCTATCACTGTGACTCTTGAGACTTCTTTTTTTTTTTTTCCCCAGTTATTTTATATTGATAAATAAAACAACTGAAAAAACAAATAAAACAACCATAAAAACTGGCACAGCTCGTGCCAGGGGGATGTACAGTGGCATCTGCAGTGACAGAGCTGATCTGAGTGTGTGCCAGCAGTTAGGAAAAGTGCTGCTCCAAACCATGCAGCTTTCCAAGCCATTTAGGAATGGGACACTGATGATGAATGTTCAGAGCCTGTCTCAGGTTCTGTAAATGCACAAGGCATTGCTTTAGTTTGAAGTAACAGCTTTTCATGTGTCTGTGGATGTCCTGCCCAAAAAAGACATTATAATGCACCCCCATGGTAAAAATGAGCGGGATGGAGTTTTGGGGACTGGGGGTTTGGGTTTTCTTTGTGTGCTACTGTGTAACCACTGGCCAGGGGATTAGTGGATAAAATAACTTTTTCAGTAGTAAAAATAACAGGTTTCAGTAGTCAAAACCTGCAGCTAGACAAATCTTGTGTGATTAGAAGGTGTCTGTTTGGGAGAAGAGAGAGCTCATCATGAGAAGAGGTAGAACATGCCAAATCCTGCAGTGCTTGGATCCCCATGCTGTGTTGGATATCTCCTCTGGTCTCAGCTCAGTGTTTCAGACTGGAGAACATGAATCCCTGCAGGAAATCCTGAATTATCAAAATCATTGTCTTTTCACCTTTAAATTCCAGGATTTGGAGTCTTGTTCTTAATCCCTGTCTTTGCAAGGAGCTCATGTCTCCCACCCATGCTCCCTTTGTCCTGTGTTTGTCTGCTGTGTCTGCTGAGAACTCAGGACAGTCCAGGTCTGGAGCCTTCCCAGGGCTTGTATTTCTGTCCCAGTCGTGCTCACGATGGCCAGTGATGATGGTCTCTGCTTTGGGAAGAATCACAGGGCTTTGAAGCTTTGACATTTTACTCTGGGACAAGCAATGAGCTCCAGTTCCTGTCCTGCTCCAACCTTCAGGATGTCCAGGATTGAGATGCCTCATGCAGGGAAGGATTCAGCCAGATCTCAACAAGATCTCTGCACTCTGGAAAATTTGTTTATCTTAAATGTGTCTCTAACCCACCTCTTTGAGTGCTGCTGCTGCCTGGGAAGTGCTGAAGATGGGACAAGGGGCATTGATGACCAAAGGACCACTGGAGGGATGGCCTGCAGGACGTCTCCCAGGCCATGCAGAAATCTCCCCTTGCTCTTGAGGACACTGCAGGGGCCAGTACAGAGATCTCCAGGCACAAGCACATGAACTTCAGCTGCATCTGAGAGTACAGAGCCCTCGGCACAGAAAATGGGAATTTGGGATTTGTGCTCCTGCAGCTCTTGGTAAACGAACCTTGTAAATAGGAGAGAAAGGCAAGAAACCTGTCTGCAGCTTCAACTTTTCTGTTCCATATTTTTCTACGTGTTTTGACTTTGTAATTCTTGTCCCAAGGACAAATGCTGCTTCCTAGCACTGACTAACCTTCAAAGTGTGGATGGCAACTGTGCAGAGCCTCCTGTAAGCAAGAGTTTGAGTCCCAGTGTGGTGGGCAGCTGCAGGTGCCGTGGATCAGCTGACAGGGGATGTCTTGGCATTAGGAAGTAGAGCCTGAAATCAGGAATTCTCTGTCAAGTTTATTCATTTCTGCAGAACTCTTCTTTAAACTAATCCTTCAGTGATGAATAACATCATCAGTGGTGCCCAGCTTCTCTTTGGCTCTGAGTTCAGCCGTGTTTGAGCTGCATCTTCAGGGTGATGTTTCTCGCTGTGCCAAATGGATCCGATGCCAGCCAGCCCAGCAAGGAGCCAGCCTCCTCCTCCTCCATGTCTGCCATTGTCCTGGATGCCTGTGTGACCCAAAACAAGACAGTTCAGCCAGCAGAAAATTTCCAATGATTAGTTTTCTGTCCCTTAATGAGCTGAAATAACCGTGAGTTCAGATCAGTGAATAATTCAGGTCAGAAGCGATCCTGGGGTTGCAGGGCTCAACTCCTCCAAAGCAAGGCCAGTTTTGGAGTTGGTTGTATTGCTCAGAGCTCAGGTGAACAACAAAGCCGTGGCACAGAGAGATGCTGCTTCACTCAGGAACAGCAAACTGTTGATTTTTTAAGTAAGAGAGGCCCCACTTGATTTTCTGAAAATGTGGCTCCTCTCAGTGGCCTGTACATGGAAAAAGAAGGTGAGGATGTCTCTGGCAGCTGCTCACTGTTGGGCTGTCACTGTCAGCAGCTGAATCACAGAATCAGAATATCCTGAGCTGGAAGGGACCCACAGGATCATCCAGTGCAGCTCCAGGCCCTGCCCAGACCCCCAACAGCCCCAGCCTGGGCACCCCTGGAGCGCTGTCCAAAGGCTCCTGCAGCTCTGGCAGCCTCGGGGCCGTGCCCATTCCCTGGGGAGCCTGGGCAGTGCCAGCACCTCTGGGGGAAGAACCTTGCCCTAAATCCAGCCTGAGCCTGGCCTGGCCCAGCTCCAGCCGTTCCCTGGGTGCTGTCCCTGTCCCAGAGCAGAGATGGGAGCTGCAGATCCCTGAGCTCTGCCCTCGCTGTGCTCTGCTCCAGCTGGACACTCCAAGTGCCCTCAGCTGCTCCTCCTGTGGCCCCTCCTGACCCTTCAGCATCCTTATGGCCCCTTTTGGACACTCTGACAGCTTTAGATCCTTAATAATTAAGATGTAATAATAGAATAAGATGCAGTAAATTGAAGCTTTTGGCAGTTATAGGAGACTTGGGCAGTGGTTGGAGCTGTGAGATAATCCAGCTGTTCCCACCTCTGGAGCTCTCTGGGTGCTGGGCTGGCTGCAGGCACTGATCCCTGCATAGCAATCCCATGTTTCTAGATGATGGCAGGGGCTGAAATCCTGCAGGAAAATATCAGGCACCTGAAAAGAAACTGCAGGCTCCTGTAGGAAGCATCCAGACCCTGGAAGTGGTGCCTTGGGGATGAGGCAGAGTGTGGCCAGCTGTGTTTGGGGGCTGCACCACTGATGTGCAGGCACAGCTGGTGGGAGGACTCTGCTCTGGAGCTCTTGGTGTCTCCTCCTCACACAGTTCAGTGCATCTGGTAGGGCAGGAGAAATGTGTTAGCACAGTCTGGTGTTTACTCAGATTCTGGTTCAAATCCAACAAAAAGCCAGGCAAGTCTGCTGGATCATGGGAGGATAAAACCTCATTTCATTAAATCACTCCGGATCAGTAAAATGTCTGTGCATTGCATCAGTGTGATGGAATCAGCCCCAGGGAGGAGATCAGAGCCTGTCCAGGGCTCAGCAGCACTGCTGGGCACACAGCACCAATCTGGGTCACAGTCTGTGTCTGTCCTGAGCTGGCTGCACATTTCAATGTAATTTAGCTTGTTTTGGTGGGGCAGCTCCTCCATCCCTGAAGGACATGAGGTGTCCCATCCCAGGATCTGCATGCACCCAGGTATGGGCCTTTATTGCCCAAATCCCAAAACCAATTCTTCAAGCCTGGCAAATTACTATCACATGTACTGTCTTTACAGCTGAAGTGGGCAACAGATTTTTCTTGCATTTATTTCACCAAAAGATGAAATCACTTTTTAACATAAAATTATATAATGAAAGCTTTGCACCCCAGGACTTCATCTGACAGCAGTCTCCTTTTTCCTGGCACTGAGAGCAAGGGGTGCAGTCCAGCTGCTCTTCCTACTGCATGCCAACTTCCCAAATTCACCATTTCTCTGGGTTTGTTCCTAGTAAAACTGAGAACATGGATTTGCCTCACAGCTTGTCTGTAGAATTCTCAATTTTTCCCTCCAGCAGGTTTCTCTTTTCCAGAGAAACATCATTGTGGCACCACTTGGTTTAGACACTGAGCGTTGTGCAGATCTCAAATTAAATACTCCCTGCCCTGGCTTCTACATCCCTGTGATATTTAACAGTTTCTTTGAAGTATGGAGAGTTTTAGAATCATGGATTGGTGTAGGCTGGAAGGGACCATAAATCCCATCCCATTCCACCCCTGCCATGGGCAGGAACACCTTCCACTGTCCCAGGCTGCTCCAAGCCCCATGTGGGACCCAACCTGGCCTTGGACACTTCCAGGGATCCAGGGGCAGCCACAGCTTCTCTGGGCAACCTGTTCCACTTTCCCTGTGTTTATCCTTGTTCTGTCAACTCGAGGGACTCTCATAAATGGTTTAATACAAACATTTCTGGGCTGAGATCAGTCATTGCACACTCGAGGCCAGAGGCCCCACGATTCCATGATCAGCACCTGCCTTACCCTGCAGCTCAGTGGCAGATGTCACCTGGAGCAGGTGACACTCTTGGAGTGCCATCAGCTGTAAGAAGCACCTGAGCTATCACATTCATTTTCTTAACAGCAAAATAATCTTGCTTTTAACATTACCAGCTCAAAGAGTAGTAAAAGCCTGCTTCTGCCACATTTCCTGTGTCTTCCTGACACAATAAAGGCTTTATTCAGGAAGTCAGATAGATCCTGGTGACTCTGTGCTTGTTCCCAGCTTCTGATACAGAATGCTAATGCACAAAAGCAAGGAAATAAAATTAAAACTAACTGATTAAAACTAATGAAACATGCCCACATGACAAGCAGAATGGGGCTGGATCCTGGATACACTGAGTGATTTGGGTTGGAAGGGACCTTAAAGCTCATCTCATTCCAACCCCCTGCCATGGCAGGGACACCTCCCACTATCCCAGGGTGCTCCAAGCCCCCTCCAATCTGGCCATGGACAATTCCAGGGATCCAGGGGCAGCCACAGCTTCATTTTGCCAGGGGAATGAATCCTTTCTCACAGTAACTGCTCCTAAAATCCCCATTACAAAAACCTTGAAAATCTCAGTACATGCCAACAGTTGTGCCATCCTGGTAGCAATTTTTATTGCACTCTGTTTCCCTGACTAAGATTTTTTCCTTAACTACAAAGCCCCTGATTTCAAAAGTGTTTGCTTGTGTTTTTTCCTAATTCCTTGCCCTTATGTTGAACACATATTGAGGTTTCCAGATGTGAGAAACAAGGCATCCTAAAGATCACTCTGCTGTTTTCAAAATGCAGCAGGATTTTGGTTTGGTTTCTTTAGAGCAGAAATTTAAAACAGAAGGAAATACTGGTCTGCCAGGCTGAACCAGCATCTCTCTTGCCTTTAGCAGGCTTGGGAAAGATGACTGACCAAATTTAGGGGATCTGTGGGCAAGTATACCAGAAACCTGATTTTGTGATGGAAAGAGTGAGAGGATAAGAAGGAGCAGGCCTTCCTCTGGTAGAATGTGGGAGGAGCAGGGCAGCTGGTCCAGCTGAGATGAGCAGTAACCCTTTCAGGCAGCTAGGATGGAGCTGGTCACTTCCAATGCAGTTTGCTGGAAATTTAGGGACAGAACAGATCTGACATCAGCCTTGAGAGAGGGAATTTCCAGTGTTTGCAGCACTGGCTCTGTGACTCAGACAGATCTTGGTTGATCCCTCCCTAGGAATGCTCCCAGAGCCTTTTCCGTGGCCGTTGGCAGGTCACCACTCGCAGGAGGAAGAGCTGTAAGTGCTAGTTCTTTTCAGGAAGGAAGGTATGGCTGCAAACATGATCCTTCTGGAGTTCAGGCCATCCAGGTTAAGCCCCAGTGTCCCCCAGCTCGAGTGCTGAGCTGGGGATCCATGTGTTTGGATTTTCCTCTGGCACGGAGAGCAGTCCCCCCGCCCAGGGGTCTGGGAGTACTCCAGGTTTTTCCATGTGACACTGTATAAAGATGGAGGCTGCTCTTGTTTTGATTCTCACCTGATTTAATTACATTTGCTTTTTCTCTTTTTATTTCAGTTGTGATTCCAAAGAGCCCTTTACCTGCCTCCGAAGTAAACTCGGAGAAACCTAGCATGCACAGTAGCACAAAGACTGTTTTGGGGCATCAACAAGGGCAAAGGCGTCGCAAAACAGGGAAGAAGCGTGGTCGAACGACCAAAGCGCTAATCCATCACCCCATGCCTACACCCTCCAAGTCAGTGGAGCCTTTGAAATTCCCCAGAAAGAGAGGCCCCAAGCCTGGCAGTAAGGTAAAAGCTGATGCTGATGCAGGCGGGTGAACAGCAGGTGCTGCAGGTCCTGCCATGGGTTGGTGCATGCGTGTGTTTGTGCACGTTTGTCTCAGCCTCTGGCTGTGTGACTGCAGCAAGTAGGAGAGCAGAGGGGTATGTGGGGCTGGCAGTATCCTCAGAGCCCAGCCCCAGAGCTGTAGAGAATGTCTGTGTCCTAAAGATCATTTCCATCAAGAATCCGTGTCTTTGGAAGTGCATTGGCTGTGGAGTAGCATGGCAGATGCTGGGAGAAAACAGGATGGCCAAAGGGTAGAATAAGCTCTCCCGTCCTTTCTGTGGCTAGTCTGAGTCAAACAGAGGTGGCAGATCCCAGGCTTGTTATTTTTCAGGGTTGTGGTTTGTAAAATACACACGTGTTGATTACTAGGTTCTCGACACACCCCGTCATCACCATCAGAAATGTGTCATGTTCCACAGTGCCTTGTCTGTTGGATGCAGAGGAGAGAGTGTAGTGATCATGGGTGGTAAAGGAGAGCAGGGGTAAAAGGAGAAATATCTCCTCTTTTTCTGCAGAGGAAACCTAGGACATTGCTGAACCCAGCACCCACCTCTCCAACCACCAGTACCCCAGAGCCAGACACAAGCACTGTGCCCCAGGACGCTGCTACAATCCCCAGCTCTGCCATGCAGGCTCCCACAGGTAAGGAGGGTCTTGGACCACATTCTTGACAGGATTGCACAGTTAGGAACTGCAGCAGGCAGGCAGCAACACTCTGAGAGAGTCCCATTTCTTCCTAAGCCTGTAAATCAGCAATGCTTACCACTCCAGAAAGGCTGGCCTGAGAGAGGCACATGAGTCCAGAGCAGCTGTTCATTTACCTTTCTATTGGAAATAATGAAGTAGGAAGATTGCAAGCCCACCTTGAGTGCAAGAACCCCTTTCCCCTGCATGCTGGTGACTCCACAGCTCTCCAGGGACACTTGTGGCCCACTGTGCCCGGGGGCAGTGGGGTGTGCAGCACTCCTTGAGAGCCCCGAGCGTGAACTCTCCCACACCATGCAAGGCACAGCTGCTGGAACTGCACAAGGGGCAGAGGAGGTGCTGAAGGACTCTGATCTGCCCAGCTCCAGCCAGGATATCAAGGCACACAGGGACAGGAGGGAATAGGGGAGGAGAAGGAGGAGCAGCAGTGAAGAGTGTATGCACTGCTACAGCTGAGGAGGAATCTGGCCGGGAAAGTCTAATGCAAAGCTGCTTTTGACATGTTGAGTCAAGCACTGGATATGGGCTGAGCCCTCTGTTTCCCCAGAATGTAATTGGCCAGTTTTCAGAGGAACCTAAAGAAGCCAGTTTCCCTAAAAAGGAAACACTGTGGGAAGCCCTAGAAAGTGGGGGCTGCATTCCTTCTTCCCCTCTGAACATCACAGCCACCTTACCTGGCTGGCATGGAAACCGCTTTCCAGCCTGGGAGAGCGTGGGAGAAACAGCAGCAGTTTGGAAGGTGAGCGTGAGGCAGGAAGATTTTGGAGGTGATTCCCCTCTAGAAGCGGCTCCACTGTGAGGATGCAGTCAGGCAGTCGTGGTGGATTCCACTTTGTGAGTGATTGGAGAGTCTTAAAATCTCAGCATCTCTCAGGTTGGATTTTAGGCATCTGTTTCTTGCTTTCTCGAGTGGGTTAACGGCAAACACGTTTCTCATCTTGGCAGTTTGCATTTACTTGAACAAGAACGGCAGCACTGGGCCCCACCTAGACAAGAAGAAAGTTCAGCAGCTGCCAGACCATTTTGGACCAGCTCGAGCTTCTGTTGTCCTGCAGCAAGCAGTACAGGCCTGCATTGATTGCGCTTATCATCAGAAAACAGTCTTCTCCTTCTTAAAACAAGGCCACGGGGGAGAGGTCATCTCAGGTGAGAACAGGCCCCCAGCACTTTGCCTCCAGAGAGGTTGTTGCAAGAATTCTCTCGTTGGAAGATGTCTGTCCTGAAGCTCGCTGCGGCCACAGGCCAGGGGCAGACAGAAGAGTTCTGTCTTCTCTTCCTTGCCACACGTGTGTGTCAGTGAAGCACCAGCTGGCAGCTGACTCAGAGCGGAGCAGTTGCCATGGCCTGCGGGCACAGCTGCTGGAGCAGGCCGTGCTCAGTGTGCTGGCATCGCCTGGGCAGCGATCCTGCCCCACCGAGCGGCCCCCGCGCTGCCCCAGCCCCGGCAGGAGCCCCAGCAGGGGGGATTCCACAACTCCTCACGGAAAGACAAGAAATCCCCGGGTGTTTATTTGCCTTTAAGGCCGCGCGGAGCCGGAGCTGCGAGCGCAGGCCCCTCCTGGAATCCTTTGCGTTCCCTCGGCCGCGGCTCCCCGTGCTGGGTGCAGCAGGCTGGTCCTGGCCTGCCCCAGCAGCAAAAGGCTTTGTTGGCTCTCGACAGCCCAGCGATGCTGAGATCCAGGAGCTGGCTGTGCGGCCCTGGGCGTAGCCTCCCGCCTTGGCGGGGGGTTCACGTGTTGGGCTCTGTTTGTTTCTGTCTCCAGCTGTGTTTGATCGAGAACAGCACACTCTGAACCTGCCAGCAGTAAACAGTATCACCTACGTCCTCCGCTTCCTGGAGAAGCTGTGCCACAATCTGCGCAGTGACAACCTCTTTGGGAACCAGCCTTTCACTCAGAACAGCCACATGCAGCGCTCACACGAGTACGACCACGACAGGTATCTACCAGGTAGGAGCTGGGGCGGGGGCGGCACTGTAGGGACCCAGGTTTGATCTCTGTCTCTGAAGGCCTTCAGAGCCCTCACAGGGTTCATTGCATCACACCCAGTGTCGTGCACGTGCCCACAGGGCTCTTGTGTAGGATTCCAGTTGCATTTTCTGCCTGTCGGTTTGGTTTCCATCTCCGCTGTAGGTTTCCGCTCATCCATGCTGTCTCCTTGTCTTCCCTCCTCTCCTCGTCCCCCAGTCCTTCCTTCTTCCTGTAATCTGATTATGGTGACTTCATACAGCTAGGAATTCAGGTGAAAAGACTGCATGAGAAGGGAGAGTGAGAACATGCAGCAGCTTAATTGTAATTAGCAATTAATTAAAGCAGAGTGGTTTCCACACCGGTCGTTGATCTGCTGGCAGCAGCCAGGGCATCCAGCCCTCGGTGACAAGGAGCATTGAGGGGTGATGCTCATGCAGCAGTCTGATGCAGATTCTGTTGGTTTTGGAGCAGCTCACCCCAGCAAGACAGTTGATGCCACAGTGCAGATTGTCAGGCTGCAAAACTGCTCAGAAGTAGAAGCGGTGGAAAACAAACGCAGTGGTTCCCAGGCAGTGCTGGGCAGTGATGGAGTGATGGCTGCCCTGCCTTCTGGGGCAGCTCCTGCTCCAGGAATGTCAATCATGGAGAGGATCAAAGCTGTCTGCACCCTCTTGGGTGGTTGACAAGTGCTGATCTCCTCTCCTGTCTTGCTTTCTTCCCCCTCTAGTCAGCAAGTAGTTGTTGTGTTGTTTGAGGTCTTTCCAAAGTTAATTCTTTGCATAATTATGGTTCTGGCAAGAAAAGCAGGAGTTGTATGAATGTAAAAGGATGGGCACTTAGAAAGAACTGTTTAAAGAGAAGTTGCTAAGCATGAGGTGTAGGAGCAAGAGCCAAATTCCACAGTGCTTCCATTCATTGCACCTCACAAAGCACCTGAGGCAGAGTCTAGAAAGAAGGAGGATCTTCCCATCCTCTGTTTCCTCCTGGCTGGAGCCAGCAGGGCCAGGAGCAGAGGAGCTGAAGGATATGCAAGGACAGGAGCAGCATGACTGGGGAACCCTCAGGTAGAAGAAATCCCCATGTTTCAGTGTGGAGGTACCCTGTCATCATGAGAGCAAAGTGGCAGGGAAAGCAACCAGCTCTGGGCATGGCTGAGCTCACACAGAGTTTCCAGCCTCAGTGAGAGGTCAGAATTGGGCTGCTGGACAGAGTGGAAAAGTATAAATCAGAATTCAGAGGAAACTCAGGCAGAGCACCAGATCTGACACAATGCTGAGACCTGCCCATCCTGAACTCTGATTCAGAGTGTTTGCAGCACTTGAAGAAAATCAGCCACAGTCAGAGGTGTGGCAGCACCTAGTCCTGCAGTTCATCCTGGTGTCTGAGCTTCTTGGGCATCTGCTCATGTGGCACCTTTCTCAGGCACTTGAAAGAAGGTGGTAAACTTTGTTATCTACACATTACAGTGGCTTCTGGTGAGGGCAGGGAAACAGAGCTGGTGATTTTGGGAAGTTTGGGCTGGTCATGGAGGAATGAGGGTGGAGTTGTACGTCCTTAAATCACAGCAGATGTCAAGGCTGCTGTGGTCTCACCTTCAGCTCTGCATGTCCTGCCTTGTACAGTCTCCAGGACAGGAATGTCCTGCATGGGGCTGCTTCTCCCAGTGAATGGCCACTGGTTAGGACTGGGAGCTGCTCTGAGTTCCCAGAACAAACTGGGGGTGCCGTGGAGAATTGGTGTGTGTGTGCTTGGGGCAGAGGGAAGGTCTGCAGCAGCCAGCACTGCCATTCTGCCTTTCTGAGCAAATGGAAATGAGGAGAAGCAGAGTGAGCTGTACATCAGGAGCAGCTGTTGGCAGGGGACTGGGCAGCTGATTGCTGTTCATAGCAACATGAACATGATGTGACCTGGAGCCATCTGAAAACACAGGACTGCAGAGACCCTCTGGACCACCTGGCTCCTGCTGTTACAGCACCACATGGTGCTTCTTGGATCCTCTCTGCAGTTGCAGATTTTGCTTTTCCATTGGAGATTGCTCTAGGGTTTTATGCTGAAATTTTAGAAACTATTTTGTTATTTCCAGCCCTGATTTATTCTTGGGCAACTTGGTGTCTGTGTCTCCTAGTCTTAATATTGTCTTTTAGCTTAACTTGGTTCTCTTTCTTCTGGAAGTAGTTGCAGAGCAGTTGGAACCCTCAGAGGAGTTCATCTTTTGGCTGCTTCTCGCTCTCCTCAGACAGGGTTGGTTTGACTTGAACTTCATGGGGGGGGCAGAGTGAGCTGCTCTTCCCCCCAGCAGCCTCCCAAGGCAGGGGAGGTGAAATATCCCTCCCAGCTGTGCTGTCATTTGGAGGCAAGGACAGCCCTTTGTCCTTTTCTCTCAATCCTTACCTTTCTGCAGTCCCCTTGTTCTGTTCCCTTGTGCTTGTTCCTTCTCTAGCTGAAACATGGGCCCAGCACTGCCTTTGCACTGTCTCAAAGCACAGAATGAGTTAAAAACCTCCCTTCATCCCTTCTCTCTCTCCATCCTCTGAGGTGCACAGCTCCATGCTGAGCAGGGCTTTTTTATCCAAGTAAATGATCTGCTTGTTCTCAGCATCCTTCTTGAAATGAGCATTTATCCTCTGAGATTTGGGGTCCTTTCCTCTCACATTATTTCCTCTTTGGTGATACATTGGTGAGACATTCATGAGGTTTATGTCATTTTTGAACTGAAGGCATTTTCTTTTTATTCCTGATGATCTGAGTACAGCCCTGTTACTCCATTCTTTATTTTCTCAAAACTTGTCCTTTAAAACCAGAATTCTATTTTTGGTTTATCCTCTCATTAATTTACACTTCTGATTCCTAGGGTTAACTTCTATAACCTAACCTGCTGTGTTTGCATTACTTTTAATATCAACCACTTTTAAAAAAATAACCAAAACCTGATGAAACCTTTGTAAAGCATCACTTTGTGTTGTGGTTCTGTGGCTGTTGGGTGAAGAAGGTCATGCAGTTTGGCACAGGGCTGTCCAGAGACATTACCAAGAGCATGTGTTCCCTTCTCTGGGCAGTGTTTCTTGCAGGGGCTCGTCCTGAGGATGGAATTTGTTTTTCTGACAATAATTTTTGGTCATACTCCTATGTAATCCCTCAGTGCAAGCAGCTCTTTCATTTCCCTGATGAGCAGATACCTCTCTACCTTTGTGTTTCTCCTTAATCAACTCAATTGTGCCCATCTGGTGCTTTCCCCCACCTGTACCTCCATTTGTTGGGCATTCTGTATCTCCCTTGGTGTCAGTCCCCTTGTTCCCTCCTGCCCTGTGCCAGCTCCAGGCTGGTGGTGGCTCCTGGCATTTGTGCAGGAGCATTTAACCCCTGTGTGCCCACCCCAGGAACGCCCACATGTCACCTGCAAGAGCCCAGCTGGGAGCTGCTGGCCTGTGTGGGCAGGGGAGGGTCACCTCAGCTGGGACAGGGTCTGCCACCCCTGTGTCACTTACCTGGCTGCTGTCCCCATCAGTGTCAGTGCTTCCATCCCTTGTCCATCACCCGTGTGTGCAGAGACGTCCTGGCCTGTCCCAGTGTCCTGTCTGCTGTGCAGGGCCTGGAGAGTCCCATCCTTGGGATGTGTTTGGAGAGCAGCCTGGGGGGTCCACAGAGGGGGGAGATTGGAAATTGGAGTAGGGTTTAAACCAGCACTGTGTATGGCACAGAGGGGCTGCAATTTGTCCAAGGCTTGTTTGCCAGGTGTCCAAGGGTGCACCTGAAATGTGACAGTGGGATGAGCAAGGAATTGTGTGGGATGAGCCAAGGTGTAGAATGAATTAAGTCAATAATTAGAGGTGATGTTTGGGTGAAATATGACAAAACATGGCTAAG